TCGAGCACATGTTACGCATTTAAGGATAAATGATCGAACCGGGGTTCTCCCGCCTAATATCCAATATTGTTGACGGGTATGCGCTAAAGTAATTTGAGTGCCACCGTGTAGAGTTTGGAGATGGGCATCAGCAATAATTAATCTTGTAAGAGGTGATTGTTTTGGAAGCAAAAATGGATGTTTTGCATCGGCGTTCAAATTCGCATGCTGGAGTCGCCCGCCAACACGAAGAAGTCCAAGTTCATCGATGAATGGAGTAAGTCGAATCAAGGGGTTTGACTTCGGTAAACTCCCACCTCTCTCTAATATCTTGATGTCGTGATGAAAATGACCCTTTTGTATTTGGCGTATCCAAAAGTAACGACATTGTAGTAACTCTTGTGGAGTCAGAGGCAACATAATCGATTCCGACGACAACCTCCGAAAACGATCAGCAGCACGCTTACATATTGCGGTAATTCGTAAAAGTTTCGTATAAGAAGAGTAGCGTTCTAGTAGATTCCAAGGAGCTATTTTAGTGCAAGGTATTGTAACGAGTACCTGATTGGGACTTTCTTCCAAATTTACGCTAGCAGAGGGATTGGATTTTATCTTGGGCCAATTGATCAACTTCTGACGAAGCCAAGACGGACCGGACCACCAGAAGCGGTGTCGTTCAAGATCTTGTGCACTTAGACCTCTGGTTGCGCAGTCTGCAGGGTTTTCCTTACCGGAAACGAATTGCCACGAAGCGGAAGGCAGCATATCCTGGATTGTTGAAACTCGATTACGAACATAATCTTTCCATTTGGCGGGATGAGAAGTAACCCACGTAAGAACTACGGACGAGTCCGTCCACATAAAAATTGGCTTGTCTTCTAAAGCTAATGCGGTTTGCACAGTGGTCATGAGACGCGATAACATTAATGCGGCATTCAATTCAAGTCGTGGGATAGTTAATTTTTTCAAGGGCGCTACCTTTGTTTTGGCACAAACAATATTAACTCTGATCTCAAAGTCAGGCGTTTCGACTCTGACATATACTCCCGCTGCCATAGCAAGCTGAGATGCGTCGGAAAATCCATGTAACTGGATGGAGACTGCGTTAGACGAGATATTAATCCAACGAGGAATGCTTAAGTTACTAATAGCCTGTAATTGCTGCTTCCAACTATACCATCGATCCTGTAGATTAGAAGGTGCATCCCAATCTATCTTGATTAACCAAAGACTCTGAATGAATATCTTGGCGCTAATTACAATGGGCGCCATGAAACCCAAGGGGTCGTATAGTTGTGCTATTTCTGATAAGACAGCTCTCTTGGAAAGTCGTTGACTTGTTGACGGCACGGAAATGAATTGGAAAACGTCCGCTTGTGGATGCCAACTTAAACCTAACACCTTTATGTGTGAGGGAGTTAACTCGATCGCAGAGGCAGTATTTGAGTAGTGGACATGTTAACTAACAAATCAGTACAATTGCTATGCCATTTCTGTAAGGGAAAACCACCTGCGTTGCAAAGCTGCGTCACCTGAATGATTATTTCCTTCGTTTTGTCAATAGATTCAGCACCTCCAAAGATATCATCTACATATCGTCCCCTAACTAGCGAGGGTATAGCCTTGGGAAAACGATGCCCTTCGTCTATAATAAGTTGTTGTATAACGCGAAGAGCTAAAAAGGGTGCACAGCTTAATCCATAAGTCACAGTTGTTAGGCAATATGAGCATAACTGATTCTGGGAATCGTACCAGAAAATTCGTTGGAGATTGTGATCGCTAGGGTGGATTAATATTTGTCGGTACATTTTAGTGATATCAGATGAAAAGACATACTTATGGGATCGAAACCACAGCAATACGTCAGACAAATCTGATTGTAATTTCGCTCCTGAATATAGGATATCGTTGAGTGACACACCACTACTGGTAGGACTTGATCCATTGAACACTACCCGCAATTTGGTTGTCGGGCTGTCATCACGCAGTACACCATGGTGAGGTAAGTAGACCATGGGATTATCTCTGACTTCAGGTTCCACTGCTGGAGTCATGTGACCTAACGTTAGGTATTCTTGCAAGAAATTCTTATATAATTCACAAAACGAGAGTTGTTTTTCGAATTTTTGATTAAGTCGAGATAGGCACCGAAGTGCGGTAGAAGAAGAATCCCCTAGCAACGTTGCAGGAGATTTAAGCGGAAGTCGGACCATATATCGACCGCTCTGATCTCGAGAAAAGGTGGAAAGGAAGTGTTTTTCGCAATTATCTTCTTCATTGCTTAGACCTTTTGCGTTAGATTCAGGAATTTCTTCTTGCTTCCAAAATCTCGCTAAGAGATCCTGCAGATCGCGATCGATCGTACAATGATAGACTCTTCCATTATGATCATCAGTATTTGAAGTGACGGGCCCAGATATCACCCAACCGAATAACGTTGATTGTGCAATGAGCGGTGATGAATTACTTTTTAACAATTCGGCTTTAAGAATTTGTCCGTACGAGTCTGCGCCAATAATGACGTGAATAGGTCCGGGTTTTCCAAAATTTGGATCCGCGAGCTCCAAATAGAAAAAATGAGCCCATGCCTCATTTGCTACCACAAAGGATGGTAACTGAAATGTAAGTCGATGAAGAACAAATGCGTGCAGCTTATAAGCAACCGAGTTGTCTATTTTTGAATGGAGTATAACAAAAACTGAACCTCCCGTACGTCCGGAATCCGTTCCGCCAATACCGAGGAGTGGAATTGCAGCATGTGATCGAGGAAGTTTTAATAAATTAACCAACTCCTCTGTTATGAAAGATAGTTCGGATCCAGGATCCAAGAGTGCTCGAACTGATATAAACTGTCCATCGCGGACCTTTACGTTTACCTAACAGGTGGCAAGAATGGTAAGCGGTCTTTGATTCTTAGCTTGATTTACTTGATACGCAGCAGATTCTAGTCACAACTGAGCTGAGTGAGGAGCAAGAGGGAGTGGGGCAGTGCTTACGGACGAATCTGACGTCGTCTTAGTTTCCGACTTTGTCGAGATCTTGTTTTCATCATGTATCGTAGTATGATGTCTTTTACCACATTTCTTGCAATCGCGAGAACTTGTGCATTTATTAACTGAATGCATACCTAAGCAATTGAAACATAATTTGAATTTAAAAACAATGCGCCTGCGACGATCAACAGGATGCGACAAATAAGTGGGGCAATTAGCTAAATAATGTGAGGACTTACATAAGCGGCACGTTAATTCACCTTTCACTAATGAGGTAGATGCTACCAGACTGCGAGACTTTACATCTGACTTACTTGAGAGCCCTGAGAAACGACCTCTTTCTTTAATAGGCTTGACCAACGTGATGGCCATACTTTCCCATGCTCTAGTGTGACCTATTACAAATTCCTCAAACTCTTTTAGCGCAGGATACGACGTAGACGGCCCTAATTTTACTTCCCACGCTTCGCGCGTGTCTTCATCCAACAAGCGTGCTAAATAATACACCATAAATGAATCCCATGTGCTTGTACTGCAATCCAGAGCTTCAAGGGCTCCAAGTGATTCTCTAACTGTAGCGATCATAGTATTAAGCTGCTGTGCTGACTTTGATTTGATAGGTTTTAGTGCAAACAATTTATCCAACTGCGCAGAGATAAGCACACGCTTATTTTCGTAACGAGCTGTCAATGTTTTCCAAGCGATTGAGAAGGTGTTGTCTGTTACTTTAAGATTCGTGACGAGTCGAGCAGCGTCACCAGAAAGACAGGTTTTTAGATAATGCATTCTTTCAACATTAGTTAAATCATGGTTATCGACTATCATTGAGACAAACAAATCGTGAAATGATCTCCATGAGTGGTAATCTCCTGCGAATGCCGGCAGGCTAATCTTGGGCAAACTTCTACGACTATTACTCTGACGAGTTTCAGGTGTAACTAAATCCGATAATCGAGAGCCTGAATTTGAAGCTTCTATTGAATCTTGTTGTTCAAGTAACAACGCCCTAGCTTGAACGTAAAACTCTTGACAGCGTTCATATGTTCGATGTTTTACATACGACTCGTCCAGAATTCCTTCAATACGCGTGTGACATATTTTTTCATGCTCGACTTGAGATTTCGCCCAATTAGTTTCAAGGACCTCTAGCCGGGTATTTACTAGATGACGAGAACGCGTATCTGGTACTTCTTCTGCGGCATCCACTGCGGCATTTTGTATCATAAGGAACCTATTCATCTGTAGCGATATTTGAGACCGTAGATATTCCATTCTGGAGGTGCACACAGAATTTTTATGGTATATGATGTCGAACTATCAGCTTACAAGCGATCCGCCACAGCGTCTCTTTCGCTTTTTGCTTGCTTGTTTACTTACTGAAAATTTTTATTAAAATTTAATTAATGCTAAATGATAAAAATGTGATTGACACTATCTAAATGTTTGTCTGGAAGCAAGGATCCTTTACGACGCACCCCCACACTCGGATCCGGCTCGAAGGACCAAAAAATGTTATATGTATGGTATGAAAAGATCCGGTCGATGGGAGTGCGCAGCAAAAAGTTCACAAATAAAATAAAATAACCAGTGTTTATTTTATAGACAAATACAATTATTTGGTTTTGGTGATTTATACTTTAATATTATTAATAAATTATAATAAATGAGGTGGAAGAAAAACACAACCTAAGATAATCATTAGACGTCTTAGTATTTAGTTGATGGTTGCGAGACACCACCTGAGCTGATCGTCAGGCAAAGCTTGGAATTGACGCGCCGTTAAAGCGGCCCCGCGGCTGGCCCCGAACGCTCATTAGGGCGGCCTATCCGAGCCAAATAATCGGACAATTATGGGGGCAACCAATAGCCTAAGCTAATCTTTAGGCTTCTTATTATGGGATCATGAATTTATATCGTTCACTCGGAAGTCGAGCAGGCATCGTCAAGTTTATGCACCGACAAAAGGCTAATTATTTCTTACCTTATTGAAAGGTTTCCCCTTTTTAAGTATGTTTACAGATATATGACATGAGATCCTCAGAGGGTTTTTTTTTTAAGGTTTTTTTGAGTAAATAGTTAGAAACCTCACCGAATGTCAACGAAAAGAAGCGTAGCAAGCCAAGAAGAACAAGAAGCGCGCGAGAAGACAACAAAACCATAGTAACCGCTCGTTTTTTATGCGCAACAGATCCGCGCAGATGGCGAGTTAAGCTCGCACTCTCACCGCGGAAGCGGCCGCTACCTCCGATACACCACTCTTCGAGCTACGCCAGAACACTATCACTACATGAAGAATTTATTACCAAATATTTACTTATTAAATACTAAATGAAGTTTAAAGTCTCATCTTAAGGAAACTTAAAGGCATCCAAATTTTAAATCTTTTTTTACAATGACTACAGGCATGATCTAAATCATGAATTTTCCACTGAATAGTTTTCAATCCAAGAGCAAAAATTCATGGTGGAACCAATAGATTATTAGATTAGTTTATTATCATATATATATATATGTAGATATATTAGGGTGGCCGAAAATTTTATCGAAATCGATTAATATCTTTAGGTTGCCCCTCGACTTAGAAATTAGTAAAATACATTTCGTGAATATATGTGTCAAAATTCGAAAAAAATATTATATTTAAATTTCAATACAATTTGGTACTACCCATTCTTTTTTGATCGCTGAACACGAATCCGAAGTCAGAAGTACACATTTCAAAATGCGGATCGGATACGACGATATAAAATAATAATTCTTACCTCATATTTCCTACATCCAACCAAGATAAGGATAAATTAAATCAAATAATAAATAAATCAGACTTGGTTAAGTCTAATCTCGAATCAGAATAAAATACTATAATATAATAAGTAAAATAATATTTCAGATTACAATTACATTTATTAACATTTGTTATTAACATTTGTTTGTATATACAATTGTACATTTATTAAATACAATGATTTAATTCTTGCATTATGTACTATAATACATGTAATATTACATATTGTAGTACATAATGCAAGAATTAAATTATTGTATTTAATAAATGTACAATTGTACATACAAACAAATGTTAATAAATGTAATTGTAATTTGTTCTCAAATTTTCCTATTGCCAATGTTGAATTAATTTAAATCTGAAATATTATTTTACGTATTGTACTACCTTACCCTGAATTGATTAGGCTTAATCAAGTAGAATAATTTATTATATTTGTAGGGATGCACCGGATATTCGAAAAGTATTCGGTATCCAGTATTATCCGGCACTTTTTTACTATACGATCGGATAGTCGGATGTCATTACTGTCCAGGAATGTATCCATTTGAAATTTTATATCATTAAATTGTTGATTTTTTAATATATAAATGTTTTTAAATAAGTACACATACTCATAAAGCTATAATATCTTATATATTGTTGTAAAATTACCACTTCCTTTTTTTTTGCATTGCCCCGGACTTCGAAAAATATCGGATATCCGATTCGAAAAGTTGCCTTCCCGAATATCTGGATATCGGATATCCGATGGTACATTTTTTCGAATATCTGATGTCCGGTAATTTTACCATCTGATGCATCCCTAATTATTTGATTTAGTTTTCCCTTAGCTTGGACAGATGTAGGAAATGTAAAGTAAAAATTATTATTTTATATCGTTATATTGGGTCCGCATTTTGAAACGTGTACTTTTAACATCGGATTCAACGATCAAAAAAGAACAGGTAATACCAAATTGTATTGAAATTTAATATTTTTTCGAATTTTGACACATGTTTCCAAGAAAAATATATAAATTTACTAATTTCAAAGTCGAGAGACAATCTTAAGATATTAGTCGATTTCGATAAAATTTTGCCCAAATCATTGAGGTTCACAGCTAACTTTTGGGAAGTATTGCTAATCGATTTTCAAAATTTTTTTTCGGTCCACTTTAATATACCGGATATTCAAAATAAAGCGTTATAAATTTTTATCTCGGAAACACGGCATTATTGAGAAAATTTATTTAGACAAAAGTTGTAGGGTTCAAAAATGTCTATTTAACTGATCTTATCAGCTTGACCTTTGGTGGGGTCGTCAAGGTAAGGTTAAGATTACGTCAATTTAAAAAAATAAAATACTTCACTTTTAGTTCCTGAATCTAATAGCCGATGTCGAGTGCTTTCCAAAACACTATAATAAAGTTATTTTTTATTGGGTATTTTTTGAGTTATGATGCTTGAAAATTACTGTACCATCGGCATTAACATTACCCAAGGTGTCCGACCGACGGCTAAAATCTCTTGAATGTTGTTCAGAATCATGTCCTCAATAACATATGTTAAGATCAAGGCCATTAGAGATTCCTCTTATTTTTATTTTTGCATTAAAAATTTATTTTTACCTAAAAATAAAAATAAGAAGTACAGCTTCCAATTACTTTGACCTTAATAAATGGTATCCACGATATTATCCTGAACAACATTCAAGAGGTTCGTAGTCGTCGGTCAAACACCTTGGTATTGCTAATGGCCGCAATACTGTAACTTTCAAGCATTATAACTCAAAAAGTATTTAAGGAAAAAATATTTTCTTATATAGCGTTTTGGAAAACTCTCGACAACAGCTATTAGATACTGGGAACAAAAGAAGGGTGTTCCATTAAAAAAATCGATGTGATCTTGACCTGATCTTGGCGATGCCACCCAAGGTCAAATCGATAAGATCAGTAAATAGACCTTTTTGAACTCTACAACCTTTGTCTGAACAATTTATCTCAATAATACCGTGTTTCCGAGATAAAAATCTGTGACACTTTATTTTGAATACTTGTATATATATTTATATATACAGGATACCGGAAAACTGCCCACAATACTTCGGGAAGTGATTGGGGTCCCAAAAAGAAGGAAAAAAAGCTACATTCCGTGTAGAAAATTGTGAGGACTTAAAAAAGGGCCTCATAAGTATACCCTAAAATTAATCGGGGCCTATTAGGGTAGATTACTTAGGCCCTACATGGCATGTAACAAACTGTTTACCAGGCCCCTATAAGGAAAAATTATCGGGGCCCTATAAAGAAAAATTATCAGAGCCTTATAAGGAAAAATTATCAGGGTCTTGAAAGGAAAAATTATCAAGGCCCTATAAGAAAAAATTATCAGGGCTCTATAAGGAAAAACTACCAGGGCCGTGTAAAAAAAATTTATGAGGGCCGCCCTGTAAGGAAAAATTATCAGGGCCTTATGAGGGAAAATTACGGGAATTAATTTTATGTTAATTTGAACCGGTCAATTATCCGAATGCGAACCACCATTCGTTGCTTGACCTCTGTAATCGTACGGAAACTGCTACTTCGATGATCCACTGAATGTTAATGAACGTATAGTTGTGATATAGGGTAAAATCAGAGATTATGGCATAGGCTACTAATATGGAATAGTGGCTTATTTTTTAAACAAAGCATTGCAATCTGGCGGCAATCGCTGAAAGTTATTGTAACTGTTACCAAACATGTCATAACAAGCAATGAACTGAAGTTATTTATTAGTGTGGTCAAAATTTCATCGGTATTCCATATTACATTCCATTTTTTAGACCTCCCCAATTTCTCACTTTTGACTTTTTTGTTAATATTGACGTTGGACTTAAATTTTGACGACTTTCATTTATTGGATGTTGTAGCTAACATATTCCACAAGAATTCTGTGTAAATTTAAAGTCTTCATATGCATTTATATCGGAGCAATGTTAATTTAAAAAAAGCTATTCCATAATCCCTGCTTTTATCCTATCTGTCAATATAATCCTGACAGAAATTTCTGCAATTTAACTGAACATCCAGTCAGTATTTTTTGTACGTGCCCATACGCACTTTTAGAGGGTGAAACACCCTTTAGAAAAAAAATTGGTTCTTCTCTTTTAGAAAATTGTTTTCTATCTCTTACAGTTCCCCGACGATATTCACTTCGAAAGAGAAAAATTAATTTTTTTCCAAGGAGTGTTTTATCCTTTAAAAGTGCGTATAGGTACATATAAAAAAATACGTGTAGCTTATTTTTGTCTGGAGAATAACATACTAATATGGCATCCCTAATAAATCCTTTCCAGGTACCTATAAGATAGCCCTAATAAATAAATATTTATAAAGTTGATACGTCCTTATCAAATCCCGACAAGGACCTCATCCGATATAAATAAGGAAGCCTTACTTATGGCATCCCTAACGTTACGTCCAGCGGACTCACGCTGCCTCTTTTTTCTTTCTCACGAAGACCTAGGG